AGGAGGACAAAAAGTTACCATTACTGGTCACTAGGAATACCGACGGATCTCTGCAAACGCGCGTTGTTGGGTGGCGCCCGGGATACTAGTCGGTAATCAATGACACGTAAGAGCCGTGTCAAATACAGGGCAGTATAGAAGTTGGAGGCGACTGAACGTAACGTATATAGTGCAGACTAAAAAGTAGGAAGCGAATCAACCAGAGCGAGAAACGGTGCATCAAGGTACTCACCAAAACGGTGTGTGTCAACGGATGTGTCGTCAGTAAAATAAGTGGACGTTTTGAAGGTTAAAATCCAGTGTTGCAAAATGCTGAAAGAGCGTGTTTTCCGGTACACTACAAGAGCTTCCCACTAGAAGGCCGAAAGATAAAAGCCTTTGATGGAGATTTTAGTGGGAGAAAACGGAAGGTGAGAATGAGTGCGAATAGTTACATGGGCTGCAACAAGGATTTCCAAGATGGGGTGTGTACCGGAGTTCGCTGGGTCCAGGCTTTTGTTAGTTATTATTAATGATGATTGTGTGGACCAGAATGCATCATCGGGGGGTCGTCGGGGCGGGCTGGTCAGACTGCAAAAAAGCCTACTAGTCCAGAAAAGAAGCCGACAGGACCTTCCCTCCACTTCAGACCCGACGGTGCGCTGGGGAGGTGTCACTCCCCCACCGCACTCCAGTCCACGGTCCTCGTCCCACGAAAAATCCGGCATCCTCGTCGGCAACACCTAGCCAGGCGTTTTGGGACTAACTCGTTCGTGGCTGTCTGCGGCCAAGGGTGGCTGACTGTTCTTTGGGTCAAGAAGGGGTCCTTGGGTTGGCTGGCGAGTCACTTGGGGATTGCGTTGATTCGGTTGGCGAGTCATTAGAATGCTCCCTTGGCAGTTCCGGTGGTTGAGTTTCAGGAAGCTAGAACTCAGAGCGGTATGTAAGGGTCGGGGAAAGTGGCTTGACGCCGGATGGGGTGCATGGTAAGCATAATAAAAGCAAATACGTTTTTTAGGTTTTCAAATGTTTTGGGTTTTGTGTACATTTTTCAAAATGTGTGGATGAGACGCAGTCAACCGTAGCCACCCGTGTCCCCATCTGCTGGAGTTCCTTCACTCTCATCAGTCTGAAATGCGTTCAGGTGGGGAGATGAATACCCTTGTTTTCACATTTACCAATCACAAGCCATGAAACAATCCTGAATTCACCAGATTTGCTTCCACAGTGGCGTTGTGCGATTACTGAGTAATATCACGGTTACACGAATCCATTGCCTTTATCAAGCGTTCCCAAATGAAATCGGTTAAATGGAGGAGGAGAACGCCCTGCGAATGACATGCAAAGGAAAAGAACTGACAAAGTTACTCCGTCATAGAACTGACGATGGGATGTCCTTGGTTACAGAAATGGTCTACGAGGAGGGTCGCCACCTTAACGATCCACCTGCTATTTTAAAACGTTAAGTCCTTATTTCACTGCTCCTCTAAACGTAGAAACCGACTCTATAACTTGCTTCCAAGAACAGTATAACAGGTGTCATACCAAATGTCGAATTTCCCTAACGATAATCCAACCGGCTAAGAAGTCCATCGAAGCATCGCTCAAACCAGACTCCGATGGCATTCCCCCAACAGCCATTAAACTCGGTGGACCTGATACATCACTGCTTCTGCTGAACATGTTCAACTTGTCGCTAGAAGCTAGTTACTTTGCAAATCGGTGGAAAACATCGTTTATGGTACCTCGTTATAAAGCGGGGCCAAACAAAACGTCACTGATGATCCACCTATGCATCATACTCCCGTCATCGTTAAATTACTCGAGAAATATTTAAAATACTTATCACGGACTTTATCCATCGTCTTGAGATGCTTGACAAATCCCAGCGCGTGATCCCCGACAAACGTTCCTGAACGTGTCAGCCGCATTACCTGGATTATGTCACAGAAGCCATTGACTGCAATTATACAGTTTTAATGCTGTTCCTGGATATACAAAATGCACTCGACAGAGTGCCTCACAAGTGTCTACTGAAAAGAATCGAGGCACTTGGAATCAGACACCCACTACTGGGTTGGTTGACATCATATCTAAATGGGCGTTACTACGGGTAATCAAAAGGCTTCCCCACGTCCAATCACAAATGGTGTCATCCAAGGGTGCGTACTTGATCCTTCCTTTTTCCTAATCTATAGTAACAATATCACCATGTTCATAAAACATGGAAGGCCATTTTTGTTCGCCGAGGAGATAAAGATTGTTTATACCTTTCGACGAGACGAACTCCATGGCACAATGTTGCTCTTTCAAGAACACCTCGATTCACTTGAGAAATGGTGCGACTCATGGATATTAAAGCTCTCAGCTAGTAAATCAAGCGTTTTGTCACACGGATATTTGTTCCCTGAAGAGTCAGTTAAATTGAACAATGAACATATCTGTGTGAAACTCTAACTGTGATCTACATATACGTTGCTCTTTAAAATTTAATTCCTCAGAGCAAACCGAGTATCAAATTGCACGTGCCAAACGATCTGTGACTAACCTATGCCATAAAATCCATACAACCCCTGCCAGACTCGAGCTTTTCAACATACTCACACTTCTTGTCTTTGAATACTGGCACTTCATTTATGGGAACTAGCTTTAGAAAACCTGCAAAGTTCATTTATCAAACGCTTGCTCATTAAATCGTCCACCTTGAGATCTGAGGAGCGCTGCCAGCAGCTAAAGCTCGAGCCGCATTGTTTTCCACGACTGAAATGTAACGTGATGCTGATACGCAATCTCATAAACCAAAAAAACACTCCAATCTATTCAGACTAAGATTGCAACAAAATTTCACTCGGAATCTACGCAACAAGACCTGTAAACTAACTGTACCAAGAACCAGGACAGTTATCCGATCCAACTTCTTCTTCCTCAGATACGCTGTTGTGCGAAATGGTCAACCAGCCACAAGCAGGTCTTGCACAAATGCGAGAACATTCCGCATTCAGCTTAGAAATTTCCTAGACCATAACTCGATAATGGCCATGTTCCCATCGGGTAACTCACTACACCAGTTCTTCCAGGATGGACGAAGAAATATATAACCCATGAGAAAAGCTGGTACACAAAACTCGGCAACAAAAATTTATGTGATTCCAAAATATTTTGATGTCACACACCTCAGAATACATATCCCACTCAGGTATGAGCATGATCGTTGCTATACTCATGATCTGGCACTAATCCAGGGGCGGTTCACACAATCGAGAAGTATACGTATTGTTTATACGAATGACACTTCACCTCATCATGTTCCCAGAGGCTGTGGGACTATCCACTGGACCTGTACAAACCATTGGTGTCTGGCAGCTGTAGTGTCAACAAGCGAATATACTTATTCATTGCTGAGAAAAGTTACATCGAACGCAATGTAACCACCGCTCTGTACAATATTGGGCGTTGGCACAATTGTACACGTTTGCTTTTCCAACTCGAGATCCAAACTAACTTCGCACAACAATAATTCCAAAACCATTGGTAACTACCTAACGGGATTAACAATCACTGCTTAGTTAGGCGGGTGAACTTGAGGCACTACACCAGGTGGAAGACCGTGCGCTCACAGATTCTACTCGTCATACTGGCTGTCTCCGCTTCCAGGGCACAAATGTGGGCGAACCTGTCTTGGAGTATTGTGTTGGGAGCTAATTACACCACAAAATGTTTGCGGGTTTTCCCTTAAATCTGACATGGCTAACGTTTCACCACCGTCAAATGGCACTAGTTTCCTGGCTCGACTGAAGCGCAGTTTGTGTCACACAGATTACCGTCACTGGATTTTAATTCTTGCGAGCGCTGGTCGATTGCCATCTGCATGGCTTTTCACAACTCTGTTAGCTTGTTTGCAGTCTTTCTTAGTACACGCTTGGAATTCTGTGTGCTGTCTTATCCCCAGGGTGGCAGCTGACCTAGTCTAGTTCTCGGGAAACAATACGGTCCAGCCATTTTGTAAAACTTTGTATCGTAAGGGGCTAATCGGTTGGGATGTTTTCGGTGCACCATAAGCAACATCGCAGTGGTGGCGGATTCCGGTGTTGCTCTCTTCCATCCCAACCCTCCACGACACGTTTCGTTCTTGCTCGGAGGAGGTACTTTGGTCATCGCTTATCGCACACTAACACACCATATCAATCAAGCATTAACCGTTCGGGGTCGTTCCCTGTACTTACCCAAACGTCCGTCTGGAAGAATCGGGGACGACCTACCTTTGTTGCTTGGGGTTGTCCCTTCCTGGAACGCGTTGTCTGAGGGTGTGATCATGATACCAATGATGACGTTGTCAGAATATTGACTAAGTACCCCTGGTCTGCAATTTAAAACCACTCCTTGAGGTGTTCGTTGTGTGAATGGACTGTGACGTGCAATCTTCCTGTGGGGTCCGTGATTCGCATTTAAGTAAACCTCGATCAGTTCGATCACCCGACATCTATCGGCTCCCCTCCCTATCTTACTCCTTGTTCTCAGTTCATGGAGTTACTCTATATTATTACGGTTATTTTTCTTCTGTTGATTTCCAATCTGTCTTGAAAATGCTTGAAAGAATAATTTCCAAACTGTTTCCTTTTCTTCCCGTTATATCCTTTCTTCACATCAGCGTCGCAGCAGTAACCGTAAGGGGAGCCACATGTGTTGATTTTTCTGTGCCAAATAGTAAACTGATCCAACGAATTCTCTCCTTACTCATCGATGCAACAAAGTGGAACATTCAGCAGCCTCTCTCATTGATCATGCCAAAAGCGAACATGGACTTCCAAGTGGGATGTGTGTGGGATGGGTTTTTGCAATGACTACTTCATAATAAATCGTGTTCCAATCTTCACAAACACAACAGATAGTGCTCACTCTCACTAATAAAATTTACAACGTTTAACCCGAGCATCTTGCAGTGCACAAAAGACCCCACATCTTTCCCCTTATTTGACCGTAACTTGAAGAAGCCATGAGTCCGGCCGGTTTGGTTCGAAGGTCAAAGGTTAGGTCACATTCTTTAATTATTACAACTTTTCAGAAAACGAGTGGTGGTCATCATCTGCGGGACTAGCTTCATGCTCTAACTTATGCACGTTTGTTCAACCTAAATCCAGTTGTCAAAAGCGAATCTCGGAAACAAGTTCGCAGTCAACCTCGAAGTGATATTTACAACCGACTAATGTGCATACAACTTGTTTTGGCTGCCGCGTGGGAAGCTACGGTTAACCGCCAGACGCACACCAGCCGTACACTCATTGAACGCTGAATGGAATCATCAGTTCGCCTGTCGGATAACACTGACCGGTTCACTTTGATGTAAACAACATAAGAGGCTTCGTCACAATTTTAGTCGTGAAAATGACCAGCTGGTCGTTGCATGTGGTCGTGCGTCTATTATGGTGAGTCCCACGTCATCGTTTTGTTTTGATACGGAGCTGTTATACTCTTTCACATTTCCACTGGTCTGGCTATTCAGTCGGCATTTGTTCAATATTCGCTGGTACCTAATCATCAATTTAGCTTGAGTCCCAGATGATTGTTTTCTCAATATCTTTTCACTTGAATTTGGCTGGGTGAAAACATTTTGCCCTAGAGGTATTTCAGAGTCGCTCTTTCCAACACTGACAACTCATGACCGATTTCACCTTTCATTGGAATCATCAGATGGAGATAGACTGAGCTGGGGTGGAACTCGGGGTCTAGCGGTTTACGGCTAAGTCCATGATCACTACGCCACACAAAGATGCTGTACCTTTCTGTTTTAACATCGAACAATGGAACAATAGTATAATACGGATAAAAATACCAAGGCTTGACAAGTCTCGTGGGATTGTTTGTGGGAATAAGGTTAGTTCAATGAAGCTACACAATGTGGAAAACACATCTGTGAACTCACCATATTATACACCTTAACACATGGTTATATCCGTCTAACCCGATTTTGTGTAATTCGTGAGCGCAATGTTTTTCTGTGTCTTATCATCACTCAACAAATAAAAATCAGATCAAGTAATGTAAATGGTGTAAAGCATCGCCGAATCCTTTTTAAAATAGGTAGCGTGGGCGCTGAAGTGACAAAAGTCTAAAGGGCGTACCACGGTTGACAAACTCGAAGGGAAAAATAATTCCGGCGGCACTCAAGCCGACTGTATTGGGTGGCAAGTTTCAATGTATGACCCCTCAATTCTGTGTTGTAGCTAAGCTTCAGAAGGTGGCGACAAGTGTGACCGGCGTTTTTCAAAATCTGAAACGCTAGGATGAGGTCACTCCGTAAACGGCGATATCTTCTGCTGTACACTCCCAGGGCTTTCAGTCGCCTATAGCATTGCAGGTGGTAAGAAACCTTCACATTTTTCGTTGTTCATCGCTATGGGGTCTCCAGTGCAACTAGGTCACGTTGTAACCAGGGTTGCCAAGCCTTGCTCGCGTACTCTACATGGGGTCTCACATACACATTGAGCATTTGCGGAAAGATGGAGGAATCGAATCTCCCGAACGCCCTCCGTAACAGACCAACATGTTGGTTCGCTGTTTTGGACGCCTTCAAGGACTGTAGAGGTCCTCTTGGATAATCACTCCAAGGTCTCACTCTTGTGAGGCGGTGTTCAGCATATCGCCTCCAAGCTTCTATGCGCACGTGGCCTTGTGGCGGACATGCACGGTTTTGCACCTGTCAGTTTTAAACGGAAGTAAACTTAGCTTTGACCATCCAAAAACATAGTCTAAGACTCGATGCAACATATCACGATTTTCCTGGCAGTCGATTGCCGTCCATATTTTGATGTCATCGGTAAAAGGCAAGAAATTTGACTTGATGACACTCGCAAGATCGTTAATGAAGGAGATAAATAACCGTGGCCCAAATGCCAACCCTCGTGTAACACCGCAGTCTACACCAATTGGATCAGAAAAGGATCCTCCAACTCGAACCTGAAGGCGCAGCTGAAAGAGAAATTTTCCGATCCATGTAAGAACAGTGTTTCCAAATCCGGATGCGTGCAGCTTTTGGAGAAGGATATGCTGCTCTATGCGGTCGAATGCTTTGAAAAAGTCAAGGTAGACAACATCAATGCTGATCCCACTTTCGGCCATCTCGGTCCAACTGCCACGGGCAAGTAGTAGGTTGGTAGTACATAACCGAGGCTGACGGAATCCGTGTTGCTCCAGTGCTATGATGTTAGACATTTCGAAGTAGCCCATTATAGCCTCAGCTATGATCAATTCCATCATCTTTGAGAGCACTGAGAGGAGAATCACTGAGCGATAGTTGGCTGCCTCTGAACGGCTACCACTTTTGAAAATCGGGGTAATGATGCCTTGCTTTCGTCCAGACATCTTTGGAAGAATCTCCTTAGTGGTTCAGCTATCCTCGTAGCTGCCACCTGCAGTGCTTTCGGGGGAATGTTGTCAACTCCGGGGGAACCATGGGTGCGCAACGACAGCAGCTTCCTCAAAATGGTCGCTGAACTAAACATGTCGTGTGTAAATACTGGTATCTAGAAGAACGGGACAGGTATGTTACAAATGCTTGGAGCACATCGGAAAGTTGGGGCATATTGTACCCGTAGAAAGTTGATTGCTTCCTCGGCGGTTTGAGCACATCCATCCGTTGATATTAGTGGGGGAACACAACGTTTCACATTCCGGAGGCTGTTCACATGTCAGTACAGAAGCTTTTTGTTAACACAAAACCTTTCCGCTAGACTCTGCTAGTGTACTAATTTGTCCTCGCGCCCAAGTGTGGTACAGTGATCAAGATGCACAACATAGTTACTCCAATTGTCAGGGCTAGGGTTCGCCCTATACACATGCCACGTGGTGTCTCTTACTGTCATACGCTTTCGGGTTCTACTCCAAATGAATGATTTTGCCCTTGCAGAACGAAACATCTTGCTAACCGGTTCAGATTTAATCAGAACATTAAACTTGCCAGAAAAATCCAACAAAGCACTGTTAATGGAACAGTCATCCGGAAACGCTCAGCGAGCATCTCCCACAAATTCTGCCAGTATGTCGTAGTGGGTGACTGTTCGAAAGAAGTTAGTATGCTCTTGTGGATACTCCGCATATCACACGAAGCTGTAAATTATACTTACTTGGTCGCTCCGCCGCAGTGGACTCTCTAACCTACGTTTCTCAACCATGAACTCTTCGTTCGTGAGCACTAAATCGAGCACAGATGGTTTGTTTTCAGCTCTGAATCAGGTGGATGAATTGACGTGGCTGAAGAGCGGAATGCTTGCAATAGACTCTTGCAGATCGGCCTTAAACTGCTCGTTGGGGGATGTCGGAACTCCCAAATCATAAATACTGAAGTCGCCTGAGATGAAAACATTACTGTATCGTCCTCATATGACCCTTCCCAAGGATAGTGCCAGATTGGAGTCCATCTCTGAGCTGGACGTTAGGGGAAGATAAATAACAGCACAAATACAAGGGTCGTTGAGTCTGAGTCGCAGACTGCACCAGAGTGAGTCTATGATCAGCGTTTCCGGATCCGCCACCGGTTCGCATTACAAGTAGTTGCGTTAGTATAACGTTCCTTGAGACCTTGTGCATTCAGGAGACCTTGTGCACTGGTGTACGTGCAGACAAGTTTCCCTGTTTTTAACAATAAATCGTGGGATGGATGTTTTGGATAAAATGTCGGCCGACCGGTGATGGGTCAGTAACCAATGATTTTTCGAGTGGGGGATGACGAACTTATCTGCGTCAGATTCATGGATCCGACCATTACCTCTATGCTTCTCTCTCTGTATATAATGCATGGAACGTGTTTGCCAGTACCGTTGGTTAGCTGATTGAACTTATCCGAACTCTTGTCGATAAGCCGTCTGACTAAGTGGCTGCGCCCGTGTGTTTGCTTAGTAGATGCTGCTTTGATCCGGAGTTCGGAAGGAATGCTACTGCGGCCTGCAAACCATCCCTCCAGTACCACTGCTAACATTTGGCTAAACTGGAGGACCAGTTTCACAATCCTCGGACCATATCCCCCCTTGTAGTTTGGTGATAGCAGCAGCCTCAAGATTGATAGCGCTATGAGGTTTCCTAAGGAACAATGAACAATGATTTATCACGGGATAAAAGCAAGTGCTTGACACGTCCCGTAGGATGGTTGAGGTGAATATGATGAAATCAAAATATCTCTGGGTCATCTACCGAACGTCTGACGAGATGAATAGTTTTAAAAGTAACATCAGTGTAAAATTAAAATAAATTATCGAGCGTAAATGTTCAGAAAGACACTGGGGTGCAGCGATCGTTGAGGTAAGGAGTGAGAAAAGTAAAATATGGTCGCTCACTTCGGTCCATTTGCTACATAAATTCTGGTGAAAAGCATGCTTGGCGTAATCCACAGTAGGGGAGTTTAGGTAACAAAATGTTGGGAGCTAAGAACAACATCTAATCGTTTTTTGAAAACATCCAAGGTAGGAGAGGATACAACTGAGTCTGGGAGTGCGTTCCAAGGTTTGAAAACCCGAAGGGAAAAGTAATTCCGTCGACACTCTAGAAGACTATATTGTTCCTTCAACTTTAAGCAGTTACCCCTGAGCTGCGTGTTGTGGCTGTTTCAGCAAATGGCGGCATACGTGGTTGGGGTCACTCAATATTTGATACGCTAATATGAGATCACCGTTCAGCCTTCGATAGCGCCCGCTGAAAATTCCCAACAACTTCAGCCTTCGGTGGTAAGAGTGATAGTGCAGGCCCTTTATATTCTTTGTTGCTCTCCGTTGTGGTGCCTCTATCGCTTCTAGGTCACGCTTCAACCAAGGTTGCCAAGCTTGGATTGCGTATTCAACATGCGGGTGCACGTAGGAATTGTGCATCATTGGGAAGAGTGATGGGTCGAATCTCCCGAATGCTCTTCGCAGCATGCCGACATGCTGGTTGCCTCTTTTCGCAGCTACCTCACCCTGTTTTGAACAGTTGAGGTCGCTCTGTACGATCACTCCAAGGTCACGTTCCTGGGAGCTATTCTGCGTTCCGTTGGTCACAAGCACATATGTGTAGTTATGTCTATGGCGTAATTGTACAACGCGACATTTGTCTACATTGAACGGTAGGGCGTTTTGAACTGACCAGTTTGACACTGTATTAAGATCGCACTGGAGCCGTTCACGGTCGTCCGGTCCTCTGATCCTTCGCCATATCTTGATATCATCAGCGAAAAATAAGAAATCGGAAGTATTTGATCTCGCCAAATCGTTAATGAACACCAAGAATAGACGAGGTCCAAGAACCGAGCCTTGTGGTACTCCACACGCCACATCGATTGCATCAGACAAGGATTCTCGGACTCTCACCACTAGCTGTCGTTCTTGTAGAAAATTGTCAATCCAACTCAGGATTGGGTTGCCAATGCCGTAATTCCGAAGCTTCTGAAGGATAATGCGAT